TAAGAATAAAGATATTTTTAAACTAAATAATAAAGAGAAAAAATATTTTAAAATAAAAATTAAAACAAATATTTTACATATTATTTGTTATAAGTTAAAAATTCTTTTAACCTGAAAAGAAGACTGGCATTGGAATTTGGGAGCTGTGCAGATATGTTCTGAGACCGCGAGATTGGCACATACATCCAAAATAGATGCTTTTCCTGAAAAATGTCAAATTCTAAGAGAAAATAAAATAGAAAACATTTAATAAAATAAAATACCACTAACTTCCAAATAAACAAAAACGTTCACATAATGTGAATCACTAGTTAAAGCATCTAATATGTCATTGCAATAGAATATTGATTTAATCAAAGATCCAAATATTTATCAGCTACTGTATCCAAGTGCAATATACCTACCAACTAATAAAAATCTGTTTATTTCAAAAGCATATTTCAACTCCTGAATCTGTTTAAATTGAAAAAGATTCATGATTAGATTACATATATAATTGAAAAACAGAATGTACATGCAAATGGAAAAGAATAAAAACAGAACGTACATGCAAATGGAAAAGAATAAACATGTGTAATTAGCTACATTTATAATTGGTAACAATATAAGTCAAAAAAACAGACACAGATTAAGGAAACACAATATTTGAAAGTACTCATCCGGGCTTAATTAACGGCTAAAAATGATAAAAACTAAAGAAATTAAGTCCACGGAAATAAATATAAAAGTTGAAATAAGTTCATCTTCACAATCTAAGAATAAAGGTCTTTATGTATATCATTTTTTTCAGACTTTACTTATGAAATTATACTGAATTATTTTAAAAAATGTATTTCAAGTGTATGATTTTTATATATGTACCCCAAGTGAAAGAACGGTTTCAAGATTAGAATTTGAAAAAAAGGAACTTTTTTTATATGAAATTTTATAATAAGTTTTGGCAGCAAATTAAACTTCAAGTTCAAAGATAAATTGTGTAGAAACACGGCAACATTAAGTTATTAGCATGAAATTAGAGAAGAATGTCGATGTCTTAATGGGCCAGGTTGAGGACTAGCTCTCTGCCTTCCACAATTCAAGTGAATGCCGGTCCACCTCCCCTTATTCCTAGATGTAATAAGAAAAAACATCGTTGTTATTATTCTGAAAGCATGATCCAACCACAACCTCACAGGAAATGGAAAAGGGAAAGAGATCATGTTTTGTTAGAATAAAATGTTAGAAATGGAAAACTATATAAGTAATTGTAAATGTTCAATTCCTGCATGCAAACGTAAGTACCATTCATAATAGTAAAGCCAGTGCTGCTTCTCAAAAATCACCCATCTGTAGTTTGCAGAATTTATCAACTTTGAATGCTTTTGTTGAAATTAGAGAAATTAGTATTTGTTAGTTATAGTTAGTTGAGAGGTAGTTAAGAATTAGTTGGAGGGTTAGTTTGGTCATTTTCAACAAAGTTAGTTACAAGGTTGTTTATAAAGAGAGGTTAAAGAGTTAGTTAATTTTTCATTCATTCTGAAAAATGTAATTTTTGGTTGCTCATTCTGAGAGCTTTCTTCTTCGTCAATGGAATCAAGCTTTCCTCCATAATTCTTTGTTCATCAAATTTCAACATGGTATCAGAGCGAGGCCAAGACATCGTAACAATTGGACGAAAATTATTAGTGAAATCAGCTGCTTCATCTGCATTTTCGATCTATCAAGCAGATAAGATCGACCTTCACATCTGCATTTTTCGATCTACTTTTTGATCTGTTTGATTGAAGTTTTTCGACCTACTACTTCTCCTACATGAGATCTAGAAGTTTGCTGAGGTTTTGTTATGTTTTCGATTTGGAAATCTGTCAAATTCTGATTTGTATTCAACCTGT